ATCTTTATTAGGAAGATTGTCATGAATCACAACTTGAGCTACCTCTTTATTCCACCTTGCCAATGTTCTATGGGATAGAAAGTGGTGGTGGCGGTGGATAAGTTGTAGTTGGAACTATATTATTATTATTGGCAGCAGGAATAGTTGTTGCAGCATTAGTAGGATGAGGTTGAATAATAGGTGCTGTTTGAACAGATTGAATATTTGTTTGATTTGTTGTATTGTTGATACCAAGCACCTGTCTGATTTTTTGAATCTCTTCACTTGGAATTGGTTTTTGTTGAATCAATTCACAAAGCTATCACACAGATATATATAATTGTGATTTATTTACAGATCAGGTTATTATAGAAACCCCAATTGTTAAAAAAGAGAGAAAAAATATCATTAATAAAATAATTCAATTGATAATTTATTTATAATATACCACCAATAAGAATAATATGGATCTGGTATTATTTCTAATTAATCTGATAAAATATACAAATCAAAATCAAACCTTTTGTAAGAATATAGTTTGATTTTGATTATTTGTATCTGATGGATTTGTTAAAGCAGTTTGTTGATGTAACAAAATCAATGCTTGACACTCTTGTAATAATTGTTGTTGTTCAGGTGGAGGAATAAACACTTGGTTATGTAAAGGAATTGGTGACTTGTTGACATACTAATGATCATTATATAGATTGATTATATATTATATTATATAAAAAAAAATGATGATATCAAGATCAATAATAGTAATGATAATAATGATAATTAAAAGATAATTATTAAAGTAATGAATTGATGGATTTTGAAAGGATTGCACTAAGGTATGTAATAAATAAAATTATAGAAAAGTAGAAAGAAATATGTGTATATATGTATTTGATTATAATAAAAAAAAATCATGAATTTAATTTCTTCTTTGATTTTGATTTAGTTAATATTTATTTTTAATTTATTTGTTTCCCTTTTTTTTCAAAGAGAAAAGTTCGCCATCATTGAGCACAAATATTTTGTTCAATTTAAGTCAGGATGTTCGAATGTTCCTTTCTCTTTCTTTTTTGATGATATTTTGTTTTAATTAATTTTATATTTTAATATCATATGTCAAAAAGCAATCATTCTAAAAACACCATCAGCAAAAATAATTGTATGTTGTTTATAATAACCAAACTCCGGCCATGAAAATGCAAACAATTTAATCTAAACAATACTATAATTTCACAATATGGAAAATAATAGTAGAAATAGTAGGTTCCATATTCATGATATTATGTTATATTGACAGAGTTTATATATAATAAAAGGCAAGAAAGGATAATCTCCAAAGAAGAATAAATTTAGTAATTTTGAAAGATAATTTATTTACCTGTTGTTGTTGAGTGTTATAATATCCTATAATTGGATTTGTTGGAAGTGCAGGAATTCCATTTGCATGTTTATTATCATCTACTATCCGTTGATTAGAAGTCGTTGATTGAGGTAAAGCTTGAGGTGGTTGTTGTTGGATTTGAGGTGGAGGTGGTGACGGCGATGGTGATTGTTTTATAGACGTCAAAGAATTTTGGTTCTATTAAGAGATAAACAAAGAGATAAAATAAAGAATAATAAATATTTGTTTCTACGTAAAAACATTTATGTAAAATATTATTTTAATGCTTACGATTCCATTCAAGAAATTTGGATTGATATGTATACAATTTCTACCATTAGCACCATCAACATTATTACCATTAATAAGGTTATTAGTAGCAGCATTATCAATTGGACTCCTTAATTGATGGTTATTATTATACCTTTGATTATGTTTCGTTAATGTTCCTTCAATTAAAGCAATTACATCATTAGAGAATATAGGTCCACAACCATTTAAACCAGCTTTCCAAGTAACCAACACTTTTTCAAGTTTTAATTTTGTGGCTTGGTCAACAGAATTATAGGTTTCCATAAAAATATTATTAAGATTTCTTGAGAATAGATGAACAAAAGGTCCACCAACATTTTTACTAATAGAATCAAGTAAATATAAAACGGGAAGTTTATGTTCAGGTGGACACTATTTATATTAATAAATTATTGAAAAGAAAAAAATAAGCATAATCGGATGAAATATTGAAGATGAAAAAATAAAACAGTTAATGCATTATTATTATTATTATTATTTATAGAGATGATGAAACTTACACTATGGATTTGTTTTTCTATTGATTTAGCGATTGCTTTTGCAGCTGGTATATTTTCTTGAGCTATAATAGTTAAGTTAGTAATAATAGGTTTTGAGTTGAAGGTCAAGTCTTGTAAAGACGCCAAATAGTCTTGGTAAACACTCTCAAGATCAACGTCAACATTTGCCATTTTTTTTTTTCTAATATTTTATTTACTAAAATAATTAATATTATTTAATACTATTTTATTGAAGAAATAAATTTTATTGAAAGAAAAATATTTTTTTTTTTGAAAGATAATTTAAAAAGAGTTATTTTTTATTTTTTTTTATTTTTTATTGTTATTGTTTAATAATTAAAGAAAAAAATTTTTTTCTTTTATGGATTTTTTAATTATATATATATATTAATTATCTATTAACTATTGTATGAGCTATCTATATAAATTTGGTAAAAATTCCTGCAAACTCCGGCCAATGAAACACTACATGAATGAATGATCACTCATCTGATGTCACTGATACCACAATCAATTAGAATATACCCGATGTGGACACATTCTAAATATAAAAAAATAAATAAGCAATCATTAATTACTACATGATGCTTGTTGGATCTTGAACAGATCCGGCTTGTACGAAACTCATCTACCTCTATTACTCTATATACAATGAATGACGTTTAGCTCTTTATGAACCTCCTTCACAGGAGCAAGTGCAATTTCTTGGGATGAAAGTATACATCAAAACAGTGATGGCGGTGTCATAGTTTTACATAGAAGCCAAGCAGGTAAAGGAGGTAATTGAGCCATTATGTAAAAAGTATTCGTGTGTATATGGAGAAACAAAAAATTTCAGAAAAATTAGTGGTTTTTTTTTT